GCAGCAAGAGGCACTGAAAGAGGCCCAGCTTTTCCAGCAACATCATCTGGTGGACTCTCCTCTGTGTTTTCAGAAGCAAGAACATTATTTTTGGCACCTTTTGACTCAGGTTCCTGAACAAGCCCAGTTTAAAATCAGGACACAGCTAAGGAAGAAATTTTTTAGCTACCACTAAACTGAAAGGATAAGGTCAACCTTTTCAGCTTCATCGGCTTCATCAAGAATAACCATTTCATTTTCATTAACTGTTTCCCAACTAGCACCGTCGTCACTGATGTCACTTCCACCTTCGTATGAGTCTGTATCCTCTTCTCGACCAACAACATAAACAGCTTGAGGACCAACCTAATGAACAAAAAGAATGAATATTTACACACACACCACTCAATTCTTATGTATTTACATATAATTTTACATATATGCCTCTATATATGCATGAAAAGGTATATTTTACTTTCTAAAGTTAAAATAATGGTATTTTTTATGTGATATGGAAGATTTCGATCATATTAATGTAACGAAAAAAGTTTAGGCGTTAGATATGTAAATACATGGGAATTGGGTAGTATGTATGTGAATGTCCCCAAAAAGAAATATGATCAGAAAGGGGAAAAAAATAATTTCAGCAAGCTCACATCAGCATAAACACAGAGTGCTAAAACTGTATGTGTTGACGCATTTACCTTTGACACCATCCCATCGGCCCATGACACCTCGATATCACCATCTTCCAGACCAGTTATATTTCCAACCCAGGAAAGAGATCTAAATTTTACCAATGCTTCACCATTTGACAATTCTGAATTGCATTTAAAATTTTTCTCATCTAAATCAGTCTCAGATTCCGTAAAATCAGCCTTTTCACCCAAATTCTCTTTGGAAATTTCCAAATATGAATCAGAACTGGATGCTGGGGATAACCGAACGACAACATCTCCATAGCAATAGTCATAATCAGGATGCTCGTCCAGTTCATACGCGCTCACAACTTCACAACAATAAAATTCTCGAGGTTCTTCTGGACTAGACACGGGTTTAAACCATCTAACACAAACGGTTCTCTCCTTCGAATTCACACTTCTCACTATCCCAACTCGATTATGTTCAACCGAGTCATCAAGTTCGTTCGAGGCCTTCTCCACCACATACTGCTCTGGAAAAAATTCCTGATCACTAGGAGAACGTATTGGAATTAAAGACGTGGATTCTAAACCATATTCCCTCGTTCCATCTTGCCATGCCACATCAACCTTTGTTACAGTATTCATAATAAAAAGAGCTCTTTCAAAGTTCTCATTTTTTCTAGAAGCCTTCCTCTCTCTCTTAAATAAAACTTTACGAAGTTTCTTGCGGTATGCAGGCCAACCATCATGAGCAGGCTCCCTCGAAGAGGATGATGAGATACTGCAAGAACCACATTCTGGAATTACATCAATAGACTCTGTTGGATTACTTTCACTGGACATTTTCTTCTGCTTCAACTTCAATTTACTACCAACTTTTGATGACACGGAATTTTCTTTGTAACCATCTGTCATCTGTTCAGTTAAAAGGTGATCTTCAGCATCATTATTTTTTGTATCTACCGCTAACACTGTGATTTCTGTCTCAGATGGTTGGTTACCTTCAAGTATGTTGGGAATTGCAGAGTCTTTTTCAGTGCTTATAGAATTAGAAATCGAATCAGAATCTAAGGAATCATCCACTAAGCTTTCTCTTTGGCCTGAAGCTTCATCCTCCATGGTTTCTTTAAGGTTTGAGGACTCCGAGGTCAAATTTTCAGCTGATGTTTGAAGGAGACACCAGTCACCTAGCTGCCAATTTGCATAAGAAAAACATGATAAAAGGGTTAGGTCCTTCGGATTTTGCTCTTCGGAGGGAACATCATCAGAAGTAGTGCCAACACCGAGGTAAGCCGATGTCATCCAGTAGACTATTACTGAAGCTGTTTGAACTTTAACAACGGTACCTTCAAGGCGATTTGCTTTCCACAAGCCAGAAAGCCATCTCGAACTCTTGAAAACCGAAGAAGAAACAGCCCTGACCCGCTGACCTGGATAGTAGGGAGAGTTCGCATCGTCAAGAACAGGTCTTGAAACTGCCTTGAGCCTCAACGGATCAGCTTTCACGACTTTACAAATTGATCCATCATCAAACAAAACAGTCACATTATCTAAAACATCATCCACACGGCCAAGCCATGGGCCTCGGACAACGTAATCTCCAATAGTGAATTCTCTAATGCGTTTAAGATCCTTGGTGGAAATATTTCGTAATATTTCTCCATTAGAATTTTGCAGATCTACCCTGATGCTGACATGTACAATGAGGCCCAATTGTCCGGTAGGATCCAAAACAGAAGAAACGATATCTCCGTGCAAGAAACCCCTATCCACAACGTTAATGTCGTTAATATTTTCTGTAGACTCAGGCCCATCAGCCCACACTATTCTAACTTGGCCATCTGGAAGAGTTTCGTTATTTTCCCCATGGTACATCTCACTGTTTCTGTCAGCATCGTCAACATCTTCGGCGTCATGAACATTATTCTCATGTGTGATATCATCGATGTCGCTTTCATCAGTGATACTGCCTTCAGAATCGGAATCACCGGCCACTTCCATGACCACACCGAGCGAGCCTTTATGCTTGATGTGTCGGACAACATCTTGTCTGTAAAGATTTCTATCATTTGGCAGGGTATGTGTTGGAACCTCACAGCCAGATTCAGGTGGACAAGAGGAGTTAGGGGGAGCTTCTACTGGATTGCCCATATAATTTGTTCTGCAAGAATGAGAGCAATATGTTTGTTTGTCCTCTGCAATATGATGGTTTCTTTCCATCTAAGTTTTGATTGAAATAATGGACAGGAAAATTGGCATTAGCGACATTGAAATAAAACCACAGATAACCAAGCAAAAACATCTATTTTGCTTTAAAATGTGGGGGCATTTACATACATACCACCCAGCTCTTATGTATTTACATATCTAACACCTAAACTTTAATTTTTGCATTTATATCACCCAAATCTTCACATCACATTGAAAAAATTACTATTTGAACTATTGAAAAGTGAAATACACCTTTTCATATGCGGGTAAGGTGGTATATAAGTAAAAATTGGAGTTTAGGTGTTAGATATGTAAATACATAAAGTGAGTTGTGGTGTGTAAATCTTCCAAAAATGAAATATGAAAATAACCAGAGCAACAGGAGAACAAATATCATTAAAACCCGTAACAGTTTGTCAAGGTCACATGCAATAAATAGTTCGACAGTTAAGAAAAGGAAATTAGTTTTGAAGATTATATTAGAATGCACAAATAGTAAAGTTTTAAAAGTTTTGTTTACCAACAACTAATCGACCTTTAAGTTTAGAATTTTTGTCCATAGAAGAGAAAAGTGTGGGCCTAGCGTAGGATAAGACAACACTCAATAAAAAGTAATCCACCAAGAAAAAAAATTAAATTAATTAATACAACTACTTCATGTGATTGATATAAGGCATTATATTTTATAGCGTCTCTAACGTACATCCATTACAGAATGTACAAGATCATGCAACAAAAACATTTTATAGATTTCAAACTCTAACTTGTAATAAATATATACTACTTTGATGAAAATTGAAAACACAAAAACATTCAATTCAATAAAAAATCCCATAATCTTCTAGAGACAACACGTGGGGTCTGTTTGGGAGAGCTGTAGCTATTTAAGGAAACAACTGTGAAGTTACTACAAAAGAAGTTGTTGTTCAAGAAGTTGTTACGACCATTACAGTGTTTTTTATTACTTTCAAAAAGTCACACTGCGGCTTTCTGACAGCCACCGCACTTAGCCAGGTCAGGTTGTAAAATATAGCTTTCCCACCACAGCTTCTTGAGAGAGCAGGTGTTTGACCCATAAGCCGTGTGGTGCGAACCGCACTACAACTCTATCATTGTCCCAAACGTGGCATTAGAAATTCAGCTCAGGCCCATCAGCCCACACTATTCTAACTTGGCCGTCTGGAAGAGTTTCGTTATTTTCCCCATACATCTCACCCTCAGGCCCATCAGCCCACACTATTCTAACTTGGCCATCTGGAAGAGTTTCGTTATTTTCCCCATGGTACATCTCACTGTTTCTGTCAGCATCGTCAACATCTTCGGCGTCATGAACATTATTCTCATGTGTGATATCATCGATGTCGCTTTCATCAGTGATACTGCCTTCAGAATCGGAATCACCGGCCACTTCCATGACCACACCGAGCGAGCCTTTATGCTTGATGTGTCGGACAACATCTTGTCTGTAAAGATTTCTATCATTTGGCAGGCTATGTGTTGGAACCTCACAGCCAGATTCAGGTGGACAAGAGGAGTTAGGGGGAGCTTCTACTGGATTGCCCATATAATTTGTTCTGCAAGAATGAGAGCAATATGTTTGTTTGTCCTCTGCAATATGATGGTTTCTTTCCATCTAAGTTTTGATTGAAATAATGGACAGGAAAATTGGCATTAGCGACATTGAAATAAAACCACAGATAACCAAGCAAAAACATCTATTTTGCTTTAAAATGTGGGGGCATTTACATACATACCACCCAGCTCTTATGTATTTACATATCTAACACCTAAACTTTAATTTTTTGCATTTATATCACCCAAATCTTCACATCACATTTAAAAAATTACTATTTGAACTATTGAAAAGTGAAATACACCTTTTCATATGCGGGTAAGGTGGTATATAAGTAAAAATTGAAGTTTAGGTGTTAGATATGTAAATACATAAAGTGAGTTGTGGTGTGTAAATCTTCCAAAAATGAAATATGAAAATAACCAGAGCAACAGAAGAGAACAAATATCATTAAAACCCGTAACAGTTTGTCAAGGTCACATGCAATAAATAGTTCGACAGTTAAGAAAAGGAAATTAGTTTTGAAGATTATATTAGAATGCACAAATAGTAAAGTTTTAAAAGTTTTGTTTACCAACAACTAATCGACCTTTAAGTTTAGAATTTTTGTCCATAGAAGAGAAAAGTGTGGGCCTAGCGTAGGATAAGACAACACTCAATAAAAAGTAATCCACCAAGAAAAAAAATTAAATTAATTAATACAACTACTTCATGTGATTGATATAAGGCATTATATTTTATAGCGTCTCTAACGTACATCCATTACAGAATGTACAAGATCATGCAACAAAAACATTTTATAGATTTCAAACTCTAACTTGTAATAAATATATACTACGTTGATGAAAATTGAAAACATAAAAACATTCAATGATTTCAAACTCTAACTTGTAATAAATATATACTACTTTGATGAAAATTGAAAACACAAAAACATTCAATTCAATAAAAAATCCCATAATCTTCTAGAGACAACACGTGGGGTCTGTTTGGGAGAGCTGTAGCTATTTAAGGAAACAACTGTGAAGTTACTACAAAAGAAGTTGTTGTTCAAGAAGTTGTTACGACCATTACAGTGTTTTTTATTACTTTCAAAAAGTCACACTGCGGCTTTCTGACAGCCACCGCACTTAGCCAGGTCAGGTTGTAAAATATAGCTTTCCCACCACAGCTTCTTGAGAGAGCAGGTGTTTGACCCATAAGCCGTGTGGTGCGAACCGCACTACAACTCTATCATTGTCCCAAACGTGGCATTAGAAATTCAGAACAAAGAAAAATACAAGCTAAAATTCATATACTAGTTAAAATATAGATTGTATCAACCTTGAATAAAATCAATCACACAATTAATCCAACAATAAAATTTAAATTGCTAAATAAAAGCAAAAGAAAAAAAAAACTAAAACATTTGAATCAAGCATCATGGTTGTACGAGAAGATAACCTCTCCCATAAATTTTCAAGTATCTCACTTGATCAAAAAATTGATTCTCATAATTAGAAGAAATAGCACAACTAGAACTCATCCAAAACCAAAATACATTTTTTTGTACAACATTAAGTTATTATTTATGATAATAATAAACCTAAAAAAATTCTTATTCAGTCAAGTCAATTTATAGAATTTGCATGTTCATTGCCTAAAAGTTGGATAGAAGGAACATCACCAAAGCAACTAAAGACCTGAAAGTTGGAAATCACAATCATTCTCAGGTGTGATCCGCAACAGAGAAGGAAGGTTAGAAACCTGCATTAGAAAATCTCAAGAATCCGTAAGAATCTCACTAAGATTGAAGGTTGTACAAAACATTAAACTCCCACACGGAATGCATGGAAGAAGTAAAAGGTAATAAAAAAGGCAAAAGTTGGCACCAATTTGCCTAGCTTAAAAATTTCCGAATTATATAAATCATTTAATTGATATTCTTCAAAAAGATTTGAACATATACCTCAAATGTCTAACAGAAATATCTATAATTCATTAAATGTAATTCTGTATCTCAACTGCATAAGGTACAATCGATATCCACCATCAATATCGACACGGTTGCTACTCCAGTTATATCATCTTCAAAAAAAAAGTTGTTAAAAGTAAAATTTTGATAATTTAACAAAATACATCATGGAATAATTTAGATGGCAAATCAAATCACTTCACAATGCCATTGAGATGAGAAAATTAAGCACCCTTAGATCCATTTTCTCGTACTGTATCATTTAAAAATATTCAACATATCATAGTGATCGTTCAAGAAAATGTCAAACTACAACTTCTAAATTAAAATTCTATTTGTCAAATAACAAAATTTTCAAAATATATTTATCATAATTTATATAGATCTGGGATTTAAAATTTTTTTTAAGCGTAAACTTTAATAATTATTTATCCCCTCCTCCCACCCGCCTCTTGCAGGAGAGCACTTTCAATTAAGGATGGTTAAACTAACACAGTTTTCAATCCTTCCGCCTCTTTTCTTAGCACATATGTTCTCGATCCTATAATAGATTCAAATTTTCCCAAAAGTCTTGTTCCTCTATCAGAGCTATTACAATATTGCTACACAAGTTTGATCAATTGGCACCAACATTATTCAAGCATACTAACATTACTTTGCAACCCAAGTCACCACCTAATCATCCACCAATAGTTGAGACAATTGTTCTAAAAGGGCACATACATATTGCTATCTACCTCCAACAGAACTTCCAAACTGTATAAATGCTAAATATAATATTATCCTGCAACATGCAGACAAATATATTCCTCCATATCCACCTCCATGGATGCCAGCTCATCCAAATCTTCAGAGAAGAGTTTTTTTTTTTTTTTTTTTTTT